AAAAAGAAACATAAATGACATCCTCACCATGTGCCACTCACAAAATTTTAAAAAGGGGATAAAACACTATTAGCAATTACTTAGGACTGAATAATATACTTATCCTCAATATAACACCAATTTTCCATTCTAAATTTAGTGGCGCACCAATAAGGATATCTAGACATCTTTATTTACAAATAAAGAAATTCAGACCAGCATTCTTGTTTATATCCTTTTCTGAATTCTTTCTTTACACATTCTCAATTTTTGCAATTTGTCTTCTGAACCATGAGAATTTCTTCTCTCTCTCCAAGATTGTTTTCAGTGTACTGCCAGTATTGGTGGGACTGTGTTTTTCTCCTATGTAGATCCTTGTTTAGGATATTGTTTTCTGCTTGTCCATCTCATGTTAATCTCTGCTTATTTGGGTGTAGGCTTTTGGAGAGGATGTATTTTTTTTGTTTCCTTCCTAGTGTTTTTACTGTCTCTTTTGACTGATGTGTAAATGTGATCTACCTCTATGTGTCTGTTAATGGCCGATTTGTCTGAATGCCAAGCTTCCAAGAATTCCCTGGTGTTTTTGGATTTAGCTTGGTTTAGGATACTCAGTTTCCTTGTTGAAACTATGGTTGAGTCTGTCCATGTGTTGTAACATTAAGGAGTTTTCATCATGTCTTCTGACTGCAAGTTGGTCTCCATGCATGTGTTCTGCTAGTCTTCGGTTGTCTGTTGTACATAATGGCTGTCATAGTTCTTAGAATTTATGTGTAGATCAGTGTTTCTCAACCTTGGCGACTTTAAGTCCTGTGGACTTCCATAGGACTTAAAGTCATCAAGGTTGAGAAACACGGGTGTAGATTATTCCTGTTTTTACTTCTTGGGCTGATGGTCTTTTGATTTACTTAAGATGATTTGGAGGGCTTTAGTTGGCTTGTGTGCTGTAGTGATGCCAAGTAGTTGCAAATGTCTGTTGTTTCTGAGAAGACTGGACTTCTGCAATGCGCTCTACATGGGGCAGCCCTTGAAGAGTATTCGGAGACTTCAACTCATCCAGAACGCAGCCGCGCGAGCGATTGTGGGTACACCCACGTTACACCTATCCTCCGCGAGCTGCACTGGTTACCGATCAGTCTCCGGATACGCTTCAAGGTGCTAGTCGTAACTTAT